AATATTATTCAACATCAGCTTCAGGTGTACAGTGCAGTGGTCAGTCCTCTACACTGTCCATGAAGTGGTCTCCCTAACAAGACATGTGGCCATCTGATACCCTACACAGTATTTAAACATTATTAATTATATTCCCTGAACTCTTTCATAGCCCTGTGGTAATATTGTACTTACCTATTTATGCTGTCTAATCCCTTCCCCTTCTCCTTCATCCCCACCTCCCTCCCAACTAGCAACCGTCAGCTTTTCCTCTATGCAGAGACAACATTCTTGCAAACATATAATGTATATTTCTTCTATCTATCTATCTATCTATCTATCTATCTATCTATCTATCTATCATCTGTCTGTCCGTCCATTATTTATTTTTTTATTTATGCATAATGATGAAAAGAAATGTCCTTGGTTGCTTGAGCTATTCATAAGACAGGACAAGAAGTCAACGAAGTGTATAGGTTTATGAAAAACACATCGTTTGAGACACTTAGAATTTGCTCTCAATTTTGTACTGTTGACTTTTAAATGTCAGAAGCTGGAACTGAAAAATAAAACCTATGTTAACCACTTATTATATATTTTAATGCAAATTGAAGTAAATGCCGAATAATGACAGCAAGGAGGAGAAAGGAAACCATAGCTCCTGCCAATTACCTATTGTCTCCTTCTGGCTCATCTGCTCTTATGCAGGGGTGTGTTAAGACCTTTAACAAAAACCATGGACTGGGATGTCCCCTACGCATCTGTACTCAGACTGGACACAAAGTTTAATCCACCACAGTCTTCAGATAATCAAACAACCTGTGTTATTTTTGCAAAGAAAATGATGATTTGAAGACATTGGTGCAACACCAGGCTGGGGACGATGCCCAGCAGCTCTGGGGGCACAGAATAGGACTTCCCAACGACCTGAAACAGAAAGCAGTGCGGGTAGCTGCTCAGTGATCTGTTCTTCTGTCATTAGAATTTGCTTTCTGGTGTCATCTTATGGGCAATGACAGGCCTCACAGGGCTTAGCTCTTGGAAAGTTTGACTTAAGGCCATGTGCTGTCTCCCATCTTTCTCTTCACATAACCTTCCCTCTATGTCATTCCTGGCCTCTCACACATTCACTCCCATGCATTCTTTTGATTCTTGTCACCACTGTCTTTTCTTTAGTAACATCACGCTTTCCTGGCGGTTCACTATTGCTTTATTCCCAAACATTATCTACCTCATTATTTTTTTCTTCTATGTATTTCATATTCTTCAGATTTCCATACATTCTCTTGTCCATTTCAGTTTAACACAAACATTTGCAAGATTTATTTCTCACATGTTCTTTTCTTCTATCCTAGCTCAGCAGGGCTCAACTTTTAACAGCTGTAAGATTCACTTAAGGATGGGGACAGGCCCTGGGTATTTATATTTTTTTAAAAAATGCAGATTGCCTGGCAATACCGGAAGATTCTGCTTCCGTAGGTTGTGCCATCCGCAACAAGCACCTCAGGAAATCCCTGTGGAGATTAGAGCACTTTCAGTGATACCTGCTGCCACTGTTTTGGCTGCGATCCCCTCTAAACCCCTGATCATGCTACACATGACTGTGACAAAAGTTCACTATTCTTATTCTAAGTTCCTTATCCCTAATGTATTCTAATTTTCATGAACCTTTTACAAGCCTACTTGTGGACTCCATCTTCATATTCCGCACAAGGTGCGTCGGTTCCCTTCTCGTTACCAGGGTCGCCTCCCCTCACCTTTTCCATCATCCTTTCATCTTTTCCCTGCCAGTATACTCCCTACCTTCTCCCTCTCCTCCCCCAGCACATGCTTCAGTCACCACTGTGGTACTAAGCATAACTCCTGGCCCCTGCTCCTCAGTCGCTCTCTGTTGGAGCGAATTATAGAGCAGGCATTGGTTCTCCTGATTAAGTCTTTTAAAGATGAGCATCTTACCTAGTGAGGCTGAAAGATTCATTTTCCACAATAAAAGCCACTGTTGGTGTCCAGGATGAAACAGCATGGTACGGAAAAAAATATATCGCCACCACAAAATAATTTTAAGTATACATAAATTTCATCTACCTATTCAGTGCCTTACTCTTTAAACATGTCATATATTTTAACAGTTATAGCTTCTTAAATGGAAGGTTATGAGTATAATTTAATTATCGAGATAAAAAGAATATAGCTAAACTCTATTCTATAGTGGTCTAAAATTTAAACTGAATCCAAACACTTGAATCAACTATCAATCAGAGAAAACCAGCAGAAGGACAAAATATTTGCTTGGACAGAAACTATTTTATAGGATATATAAAATAGAGCAAATCACAGATAGTGAAAATTGAAATTGGTTTCATAATAGTTTTCTATTGCTGAAACAGTATATATCTGTACATATATACATTTTAATTTATATTTATTTCAATTCTTTAATTAGAATACACACACCCACACCCACACCCCTGCTCATATGTGCATGAGTGCATGTTGTCACTGGGGTGTCATATTTAGGAGATATTAAAAAAAAGCACATAGTTAAATAATATTCAGATTCATGTGCTCTAGTTGCTAAGTACAATTAAAATGCAATCAAAACAATGCTTATATATTCTTGAGCGCATATTCTACTTCAGTTGCTTTTTGCTGGTCCCCTTGTTCCCTCATCCTCTAGTGTTGGCTCGCTCCAGGGATCAGTCCTTGGAACGCTTCCTTTTCTTCCCTTTCTTTCCCTTCCCTTCTATTCCCTTCTATTCCCTTCCCTTCCCTTCCCTTTCCTTCTTCCTGTTTCCTCCCTCCCTCCCTACCTCCCTCCCTCCCTTCCTCCCTCCCTTCCTTCCTTCTCTCCTTCCTTCCTTCCTCCCTCTCTTTCTCTACATGTCCTTTCTAAATAATCTCATTTAAGCCTGGGGTTTAAATACCTCAGTTGTGCTAATGACTCCCAAGCTCACATCTCTAGCCTAGGCCTTTTTCCTGAACTCCGTCAGAAACAAAAGCTCTCCTCTCCTCTTGATAGCTCCCGCTCATCATTCCCCAGCTGAGCTCCGGATCTGCTGCACATTCTCCCCCACCCGCTCCTGCTACAAGTTCATTTGATGGGATCTCTGTCTCTTCCCTTCCTCCCCAACCTGTTCTCCAATTTTTCAGAAAATTCTGCTTTTTCCTTGTAAATACATACAGAACCCAACCCCTTATTTCCACGCTCACTTGCAACCACCCTGGTGCAAGCCACCTTCATCTTTTACCCCCAGGATTACTGCAGCAGCATACAAACTGGTCTTTCCACCTCCATCCTTACTCTAAGGCATTGATATCCTTGACTTATGCTTAGGTTTGAAGGAGGCAGAAGGCAGGCAAAGAGAGAGAGATAAAGCAGTTCTCCCTAGTTCACCGTCCACACCCCAAATCCTGGGAATGGCTCTGACACTCCTCTTTGTCTTTTCATCCCCACGTCACTGCTACCTCCGCTCCTAAGCCCATTCACTCAACCAAGCTACGACTTTGGTAAATGGAGT